CCATGGATCGGTTTGAGTTGGCTCTGCAGTTTGGCATTTCAGTTCTTGTGGTTGCTTGTCCATGTGCTCTAGGACTAGCAACCCCAACTGCCGTCATGGTTGCCACTGGGAAGGGAGCTTCTCAAGGTGTCCTCATCAAGGGTGGAAATGCACTTGAAATTTGAAAATGCTCATAAGGCAAGAAATCACATCAAATAAATATACCATTTTTTTTATAAAGAAATGGAGCTGAATAATCTGTATTGTAAAAAATGCAGTTAAATATCCAATTTTAGGATTGCTTTTTTGTTAGAAGTTGAGTTTATTCTGGACTTGAATGATTAACAAGGCCATATCCCTCAAGATGCTGGTACAAACTGTTTTGTTTGATAAAACTGGCACATTGACAATTGGAAAACTTGTTGTTGTTAATACAATGCTCTTTTTAAACGTGTCTATCCGGGAGTTCTGTGATGTGGCTGCTGCTGCTGAGGTGAGGTTGATATTTAACACCTAGTTTTGTTGGAGTTTCTTGCTCTATGTTCTGGATTAAAAGTTATAGATTTGATTTTTCCCAAGGATTTCTGAAAGTTCCATTGGCAGGTAAACAGTGAGAACCCAATAGCAAAGGCTGTGGTGGAATATGCTAAGAAGCTGCGTCAGAAGTATGGCTCTGCTATGGAACATGTAACAGAACCCAAGGACTTTGAGGTGCATCCAGGGGCTCGGGTTAGTGGAAATATTGGGGGAAAACTGGTGTTGGTTGGGAACAAGAGGCTCACGCAGGCCTGCAATGTTCCACTGGGACCTGATGTTGAAGATTATATGTCAGAAACTGAACAGCAAGCTCGTACATGTGTACTGGTTATTATTGATGGGAGGATTTCTCGGGGTTTTGCCATAACAGATCCTGTGAAACTAGAGGCAGAACGGGTTGTATCATACCTCCGGTCAAGGAGGATCTCAAGCGTTATGGTGACTGGTGACAACTCGGCTACAGAAACTGCCATAGCAAAGGATTAGCAAGGTGTTTGCTGAAACTGATCCACTAGGAAAATCTGATAAGATCAAATAATTACAGGTAAATATTTCCAAATGCTTGCTGGACCGGTAATACTCCATATGAACTATGAATCTTCTGCAGTGAACGCATTGAATGATTTAAATGCCTTGTCTGGTATTCTTGTAAGGGCTATTGACCCTCAAACAGCTTGGTTGACCTCTGCTCATTGAGACAACCTTCATATGGATGTTCTTTTACTGTTAAGCAATAGTAAGAAGTTGGTTAAGTGGTTATGGACTGAACTACAACACTTGAACACCCGACTAGCAGTTTACACAATAATAGCTCATCCACCTAGAGTAAGTATTCAGTCAACTCAGCTTCAGTTTTGTTGGCATTAAATTTATCATATAATTTTTTTCTGGAACTTTAAAAATAAATGGTGTCTCTCTGCATAAGAGTATACACTAGACAGAAAAAAAAATAATAAAGGTTAAGCAAATAGAGACTGAAGTTCTAAATCCATGTGCATCCATTCTGATACAAACAAACAAAAAAAAAAACAGTCCTCTCAACCCAAGCTCCCTCAAACCAATCTGCCCCACCAATCTTAGAATGAAACCAGAGTATTATGTCAAATAATCACATGACTGCTGATGTTATGCTTCTTAATGGCTCATCTAAGCCAGCCTTGTACCTTGCATGGGCTATACTGCTCCCCAACATTTTGATATTGATTTTCTAGTTCATAGGAACAAAAGGTAGTTTAAAGGCTTTATTCAATTGATATTGTGTAGGGACAAGCTCACTTGCATGCCAGAAAACTGGATATGTTAGGAATTTATATTGTTGGTTCAATTGGTTTAGTGTTTATGTTAGTCTTATTTATGTTTTAAGTTCTTAGTTATTGGGCCTAAACTTGTTTTATTCTTTTTTTATGTCTAGGTGTCTCATCACTAATCAGGGGCATTCTAGTCCATTCTTGTAACATTACTTTGTAAACATCTATATAAGGTTATAAGGCCGGTTGAAGTGTGTATGCCGCCATTCTCAAATCTTCTTCTTCTTCGGCTGCTGTTCTCCAGCAAACATGGTATCAGAGCACTAATCGGTCTGACTGGTTACAGCCACCTCTTTTCTCCACTTCTCTATTCCTTCTTTTTTTTTCTCTCTCTCCTATCTCGGCCACTGTGAAGAAACCCTAGGGCTGACAATAGAACACAGCAAG